AATTATTTAATAACCTTGCTAAAGCATCAATAATAGTTGCTCTAATCACACTTTTTTCTTCTACATTAATAATAAAATGGCCTGGTTCTTTCTTATCAGCCCAATGTTTTTCTAAAAATGTTTTCAAATTGACAACAGCACTTTGTCTTAATAATTCTGGTTATGTTTAATCATCCACTATCCTTAATAATGAAATGGCATATCTAAATATTTGGAGGATTTTAATTACAATGGTTATAAAGATGCTTATTTAAGTAGAGCCTCTCCATTGTTTACACTCTCTTATGAAGTTCCATAAGTTAGTTATAAAGCATTTATTAAATATCCTAAGTCTTAAGTTTGCATTCACGAACTAATTTTTAAAATTTATTTTAAATTTTTTCAACCTGATTTGCGCTAAAAGCACTAGAATATTTATTATCCATAAAATATTTTTATTTTTTAGTAAATTAATAATCTAATTAAAAAGAAAAAAGTGAAAAAAGTAAAGGTTTCTTAGTTTTATATGATTAAACCTAAACATTATGAGAAGAATCAATATGTGTAAAAAATATAAATATTTTAATTATTTTTTTGCCAAAAAATAAACTTAATAATAATGCTTTTCTTAAAACTAATTTTAAGATATATATATTTCTATCTCACAAATAAGAAGGAATTCATTATAACTTTTTAAAGGTGATAGGTTTTAAGATATAGACACAAGATAGCCTTATTAATAAATAAATTTTTTTTAATTTACATTAATATAAACTAGATATGCCTTAATAAATACTTTTTAAATAAGAATCTAAAATAGAAATTCCTACAAAAACAACTAAATTTAGAATCTACTTCTGTGTCGAAATAGAAATTTACTTTTAATTTCTAATGATTTTATTGAATAATAAATGATTTTAGATACCTTAATAAAAACTCCTTTAGCAAATTCCAAATTTAGTCAGGTAATAAAATAATACAATTGGAAATCATAAAAATTTACTAATAAATCAAATGAATTTTGTATTTAAATAATTGCTATAAATATAACTAAAGATTTAATGGACTCACTCAAAACATAAAAATTTAGTAATTTAAAATATGATATACTTGAATTAATTAGATAATATTTATTTTGACATTTTGATGATTATTTTGATTAAGATAAAAGTTAGGATGCATGAGAAATAACTTTTTTGATTGAATGACTTGAAATAATATGTACGAAATAATCAGAAGATGAATAAAATTAAAATAATTAATTAAGTATTCTTTAATAATTTATTTATAATTATGATGAAAAACAAAATTAGACTTACAGCTCTCGATATAATGGCACTTGTGACAGAACTAAAGTAAAAGTTAATAGGGACAAGGTAAGTATTTGATTAATAAAAAGACTTTCAAATATTTACAATATTGATGCTAAGACATATGTTTTCAAATTCTCTTTACAGGAATCAAAATCTTATTTAGTGATAGAAAATGGTTTGAGATTTAATCTTTCTGATACTATAGAGAAAAATAAAGTGCCTTCAGGATTCACTATGAAATTTAGAAAATTTTTAAGGAGCAGAAGACTAGAAAGCATAGAATAAATAGGAGTAGAAAGAGTGGTAGTGTTTACTTTTGGAAGGGAAGATCATACTTACTATCTCATATTGGAATTATACTCTTAAGGAAATATCATACTAGCAGACAAAGATTACAGAATTATTTAATTGACAAGACAACATGAATTTTCAGAAAATGCAAAGTATTTAATATTAAAATTATAAGGGTTGCTCCTAATGAAATTTATCCTTTTGAGTTTACAGCAACAAATTATCTTGAGAAATTCGATACATCTATGGAAAGAATTCAGAAAGTGATAAGTGAGAAGGCAGGATAAAAATTAAAAGAAGTGGTATTTAAATTAGTGCCTTGTTTACACTAAACATTAACAGATGATATAATATAATAGTTGCAAATGAATTAGAATGAAAAGATTGTTAATCAATTTGATAATGTAAAAAAAGTAGTGGATTATGCAATGGAATATATAAATAAATATCGTTCTTAAACTCAATATAAAGGTTATTTATGTGCAAAAGAAGCACCTAAGGATGCAGAATAAAAACCAAAGTTTTTTGATTTTGCTGCTGATTAACCTGGTTATTATTAGGGAAAATATGTTGTTGAAACACCTACTTTTAATGAAGCTGTACATCAATATTTTTTAGTGGTTGATAGACAGGAAGAAAATAAGCAATCAATAGAAGATATAGCTTGGAAGAAATTTGAAAATATTAAATAGGATCAAATGAGTAGAATACAAAAGTTGTAAGTAGAACAGGATGAATATATTATGAAGGCAGGACTTATCTAAGAAAATATTAATGATGTCTAAGCAATTATAGACATTATTCAAAAGATGATAGATAATGGTATTCCTTGGGACAAAATACAAAGGATGATTAATGATAGTAAAAAAGAAGGCAATCCACTTTCAAATATGATAGGAGGTATGAATTTGGTATTAATATTCATTTATTTTTATTTTAGAAATAAAACAAAGTTATAATATTGTTGGGTAATAAGGAAGATGAATATTCAGATTTGGTACAAATAGAAATTGATATAACTTAATCTGCGTATCAAAATGCCAGAAAATATTATGAAAGCAAGAAGAAAAATAGAGATAAGGAAATAAAAACAAAGGAGGCTGTTGAATAAGCATTGAAATAGGCTGAGAAAACTGCTTTGAAGGAAATAGAGAGGGAAAAAAATAAAATATAGAAAGTGTAAAATCAAAGAAAAAAGTATTGGTTTGAAAAATTCTATTGGTTTATTTCATCTGATGGTTATTTAGTAATAAGTGGTAAGGATGTACAATAGAATGAAATGATTGTTAAGAGATATATGAATAAAGATGATATTTATATGCATGCTGATATTTATGGATCAGCCTCAACAATAGTAAAGAATCCTAATGAAGTCCCTATTCCAGAGACTACAATAATGCAAGCAGCCACTGCAACTATATGCAGATCTAAATCTTGGGATGCTAAAATAGTTGTATCTGCTTGGTGGGTTCATGCATCATAAGTAAGTAAAAGTGCACCAACAGGTATGAATATACCAGCTGGTTCTTTTATGATTTATGGAAAAAAGAATTTTATATATCCTCCTAGATTAGAAATGGGTTGTACAATTTTATATTAGTTGGATTAAGATAGTATTAAGAGACATGAGGAGGAAAGAAAGAAAAAATTAAGAGAAGAATAATCACAAGTTGATGAAACTGAATAGAATGAAAGTGAAATTACAGAAAAAAATATACTTGATTCAGACAATGATGATAATGATGATAATAATAATGAAGATGATAATAAAGTAGATTTAGTTGATCTAGAAAAGACTAATTCTGTTTAAACTATTTAATAAGGAGATAAAGAATATACTATTGTAGAAGTCAATCCAAATGCAAGAATGATTTAATAAAGAAATGATAAGAAATAAAAAGAAAAAGATCAGTAGTAAAAGTAATAATAATAATAATAGTAATAATAATAATAATCAAAATAATAGTAATAATAATAATAATAATCAAAATAATAATAATAACAATAATAATCTAAATAATAACCAAAATAATAATAATAATAGCCTAAATAATAAGAATAAAAACAAAATGCTAAAGATGCTGAAAATGATAGTTCTGAAGATGATAAAAAAAATTAGAAAAATCCTAAAACTTAACAAGTAAGAGGCAAAAAAAATAAAATGAAAAAAGTTAAAGAAAAATATGCTGATTAATCAGATGAAGAGAGAGAATTAAGATAAAAGTTAATGGGAGCTACATATATGAAAAATGAAGTAAGACCAGAAAAAAAAAAGAAAAATTAAGATAAAAATGAATCTACAAAATAAGATTAGGATTAACCATAATAATAAGAAGAATAAATAAAAGATAAAGAATATTATAAAAAATAATAATTAAAATAAGACTCTATCACAAATAAATTGCTTAAATAATAAGGTATTGAAGTCACCAAGGATGAAGATAAACCTGATTAATAAGTTTAAGAAGTTCATTAAGAAAAAATAGAACAATAATTACAATAAAATCAATAATAATTGCAACAAGAAGTTTTATAATAAAAAGAACCAGAAAATCTTGATAATAAATAAGAAGAGGTAGATAGTGATGATGAAAAATAAGAAAAATAACCTGAATAAGAAGAAGAGAATATTGAATATACTGAAATGTAAAAACTTGTTTCTTATCTATATGCGGATGGTATTAATTTTCATATATATTTATTAGATAAATATCTAAGTCTTATTCCTATGGTTGCTCCTTATTCAGTTATAGGAACTTATAAATTCAAAATTAAAATTGCACCAGGATCATTGAAAAAAGGAAAAGGTAAATTTTTATCTAAAATTTTAAGCTGGAAAAGAAATTTTAAATTTCTTCTAGGTCAATAAAGATATCACTAATCAAGAGAGATAACTTCTGAAAATGATTACAGACGAAGAAATTGTTCAAACTATGCTACCAGGAGTTAAATTAACAGGAGTTGGAATGCTTTAAATGAAATAAAAAGAGAAATAATTAAAGAAATAATAACCTAAAAAAAATAAATGAGTTAAATAGAAAATGTAATTAACTATATAAATTTATAGTATACATTTATCATATTTTATTAATTAAATATTCATTTTTTTATTCCTTCTCTATTATATTCTTTTTTTAATAAATTTTATAATATTCTTTTTCTATTCCTCCTAAAATATTTTTTTTATTAAAAATAAATATATGTTTCAATTGAACTCATAGTTACTAAACTAAATAAATTGATATTAACAATCCTTATTCAAATTTATTTATGATATATTTATATATAGAGTTCTTTATAATAAAAAGCAATTGCATGTGGGACTGACTATTTAAAATAAAAATTAATATTGATTACGTAATCAGTATATAAAATAGTACAGATAAATTAAATGAATTTTTTATTAATAATCTATCTATGAAAGTTAGTAACTATGCTTCTAACTCAAATAACTTCAAACTTAAAATTTTCTTGAAATCCTAATCTAAGGGGGAGTCCTCATCCTAATATACAATTTTAAATTCCTAGAAGTTCGTTTTTGACGATGATGAAAAAAATCATAGAACACCTAAACCTGTAATTCTTTATGATGATACCTCAGATCGGCATAAGTCCACTACAAATTCATCAACGTCTACCCATTTAAGGAAATTAACTAAAAGGATGACACAGTCAACAGATTCAGAAATAAATGCAGAAAATCCTAACTCATTTTATTAAATTCTTGATAGTTATAATGACTAATATCTGAATTTACCTTTCAACAAAGATAGAAATCATTCTTAAGAAAAAACTACTAAAAAAATTTAAAGGTTATATACAGAACAAACTGAAACTAAAACAATCAAATAAAAACCACTAAAATAATATTAAACTTACTCCAAACACTAAAATACCATTAGTGTAAAATAAAAATTAATAAAATCCTGTAAAAAAAATGTCTAACTATTCTGAATTGATTTTGTAATATATTTATCATTTATTTATTAAAATAAATTTAATTAAATAATTTTGGTTTTGAAAGAATTTAATAGAATTCCTGCATTAATCTTTTTATTTAAGATCTTTCAAATAATATTAAAATAAATTACAAATATTTAATTGAATTATACATAAATAGCATGATAATAATAAAAGATATAAAACACTCATAAATTAAGAATATTATTTTATTTTTAAGAATTAAAAGTATCATTCAAAATAAGTTTAAAATTAATACAATAATCCTTAAAATTTATAAAATTTGAAAAGTGAAAATTTAAATCTATTCAAAAATTAATAATCTTAAAAATCCTTTCACATTTAAGATAAAAACATTAGCAATTTGTATTATTAATTTCTAAATAGAAATTACCAAGCATTTAGGAATAAAAAATATTTGTTTTTATATAATAAATTGCGAATTTATATTTTTTGTTAATTGAACTATTTAAAAGAATAAAAAGAGTAATATCATTTACAAGCTGATTATTCCAAGAGAAAGTACTTGGGATATATTGAATATATTGGCAGAATAGGATTGTATTCATTTTGTAGACTTCGATCCTTCAGTGCCAATGATTAGTAGGCTTTTCTCCAATCATATTAGAGGTGTGATGACTTACTTATTAAATTTTCTTTTATTAAACATGAAATAAAAAAATACTAAAAGAAAATTACCTATACAAAAGATGTCAATTTAATTTTCTACATTTTCAAACTATTAATAAGAGAATATTAATATGATAATTTTAGTAAAAAGGTTTAAGGCTAGTCACACATATTTAGATGATGTTGAATTGATATTGAAAAGAAAAATTACCAATTAATTGAATGAGCTAATAATTTGGAATATCTTTCTGCAAAAAGAAATAAATTAATTGAGCATAAATATGTTATGATAAAAGGCTAAGCAATATTAGGAAAATCCTTCTTTTAAACGTAAGATTTATACCTTATCTTTAGAGCTAACTATTTAGCTGAAGGATTTATAAATTTATAAGAAAAAGAATAGGATTATATTAAATTATTATAAGGATCTATTAAATTTAATTATTTAGTTGGTGTTATCAATAATGAAGAAAAAAAAAAGATTTAAAAGAATCGTTTTTCAAATTACCAAAGGGAATTTTTGGATGGATATTATGGATATTGACAACTATGAAATTATTGATACAACCAATGTACTATAATTAAATATAATTCAAGAATAATTTGAGACTTTTAAAAAGTATATTTGTAGTACTGGTGAATAAATTATATTTTTCACCTCAGAGTTAGTAAAATCTGGAGGCTTTGTAGGAGCAATTAGGGTATTTTGGATATATATAACATTTTAGCTTGTATTTGGTTATTCAGTGTTTTCTCTAATCACTTTTGATGTGCTTACGATGATGGATGTTTTTGAATGTTTCCTTCATGCTTTGCGTTTGCATTGGGTTGAATTCTAAAGCAAATTCTTTAAAGCAGATGGCTATGCCTTTTAGAAATGCTCTTACTTTAAAGCGATGGAAGAGAATGTTGTTCTAAATGTATGAGAAATATATAAATATATAAGCGTTTATTTAAATTAATTATAATGATATTTAAATCATATATAATTATTATTTGATTTACACAATTAAAAAAATTTATAATATATTTGAATTATCTATATCACAAATCCTCAATTTTAGGATCTCCATCACTTTAGTTTTGATTATCTTCTTAATCTTAAAAATTATCATCTTATTATTGCTATTTTTCTTCTTGTTAATTTGTTTGTTCTTATTTTTATTCTTTGTTTGAATCAGAATCAGATTCAGATTCTTTTTTGTTTTGTTATTTCTTATCCTCTTTCTTCTTTTTCTCTTCATCCTTTTCTTCTTATGCCTTAGACAATATTAGTATAATATACTTTTTTTGGTTTAGGAATAGCTTTTAATTTAGTGTATTCTTCACTTACTTTATCCACTTTTTTCTTTAATTCTTCTATTAAGAATACTGGATCTTAATGCAATTCTCTCTATTCTTATTCATCTAATTTGGATTTTAACCATTCTGTAGTGTTTGTTAGATGTCCTAAGAATTTAGCTTTTTTCTCTTCAGGAACCCAAGGCATTGTAGAATTTAGAGCACTTGCTTTTTTTTGGAAATCATTCAATTTTTTAATTGTTTCATTAACAGCTTATGGTCTAGCCTTAGCTTCATCCAATCTTACTTAAATTGGTTTTAATCTATTTAATAAGAAAATAATAATTACAAATTATTCAATTAAGTAAATTTAGTGTTAAATTTTTCAAAATCAGCTGTCCATGCTTCATCACTATCTAAATATTCAGCATGTTCTTCTACTGTCTTTAAGATTTCAGTTCTTTCAGTTTCAGTTGATGCTTTTTAGAAATAGTCAGCATCTTTGACTTCTCTGACTGTATATATAAGAGATTCTAATTTATTTTTAATTTCACTTAATTTTCTACTATTTTCTTCAGCAGTTTCAAACTATTTGATAATTTTTTTTGAGTCATCAATTTCTTATTAATTTAATCCTAAAACAACATGATGAGTAATTGTATAATTGATGGGGAAAGTATGAATAATTTTTTATTTTTTATATTTAGGTTCTTCTATGATATTTTCTTCTACTTTTGGTGGTTCTTCTGTTTATTAAGTTTAAGTTTCATCTGTTTATTTTTCTGTTTCTTCAGATAGATCACCCTCTTCAGTTGATTCATTATCTTTAGTTTCAGTTTTATTTGTAGGTTTAGCTTAGGTTGTATTAGTTGTTGTAACATTAGGTTTGATTTCAATGAGTTTTATTTCTTCAACTTTCATTTCAGCACTCTCTAATTTAATAAATTCATGTGAAGTGGATTTAAAAGTAAGTGATATTTCTGGTTTACTGAAATTAAGTTCTGTGGCATTAGTAATATTATTTAAATGATATGACATTAATTTAGATTTCTAACCATCTTTTTCTACATAGATATCTAATCTTAAATTTTTATCATAAGTAAATTCTAAAGAACGAGTACTTCCATACTTTTTCTTATATCCAAATAATGAAAATTCTTTATGATAATCATCATCATTCACTCCATTAATTTCAATTGAACTACTGAAACTAAAACCATCACTTAATTAAACTGGTCTAACTTTGAATGAATGAGATAGATTAGCAGCATGGAATGCAGCACCAAAAGCCATAGATTCATCTCCATTTAAATGTGTTCCTACTTCTACACTTCCAAAATAATTAGCTAATGTCTATTAAATTCTAGGAACTCTAATTCCTCCACCAATCAATTCAACTATATTAATATCCTCTTTTGTTTTATTGGATTTTTCTAAAACGTAATTAATTGGATCGATTAATTGTTGTAGTCTATTTTCAAATAAGGTTTCAAAAGTTGATCTCTATATTGTTGTAGTATAATCTTCTCCATCAATCAAACCTTCCAAATAAACTTAAGTTTCTTTATTTGCTGATAATATTTCCTTATATTTATTAGCTGCCTTCAATAATTTATTCATTGCTTTAAAATTTGTAAATATTGATTTCTTTCCTTTTCTTGATGGCTAATTATCAAACTCTTAGGCAAAATGATTTGCTAACAAGAGATCTAAAGATTATCCACCTGCATTAGGTATAGAATAGTCAGCTAATACTCTTAAAGTTTCAACTTTTTTCTTTTGAACTTCAATAGCCTAGAATTCTACCAAAGACACTTGAATATTGTATGAACCTATGTTATAAAACAAAGCAGTATGTTTATTTTCATCTTATCTTTCTAGTGCATAATATAAAGCAGCAGCTGTATTTTCATTAATAATTCCTAAGACTTCTAATTCTGCTAATTAAGCAGCTGATTTTAAGGCTCTATACAAAATATTTAATTTTTAATTACGATCTCTAACTTATGTTCCATTCACTTGGTACTGTCAAGACTATATCTTTAATTTAGATTTAATGATTGAAATCTACTAACTTAGCTATAAATTTAAGAACCATTCCTGCTAACTCTTCAACCTTAACAATCATAGTATCTTTTCCTTCTACCAATACACCATCAACTTCAAAGGCAAATGTTCCTTCTCTCTAAATTATATGGTTTGTATATATACTTCTTCAATCTCTATTTTAAAATCTTCATAGAACTGTTTAGAAATTTCTACTAATTTTTCGTCATTAGCTAATGCTCCTAAAAATTTGTTTAAGAATGTAAATGTATTCTTAGGTAATTTGGATTTCTTAGAAGCACCATCACTCTCATATAAACGCTCCTTATTATAAAATGCAATCTTAAGCATAGATAATTAATTATACAGCATTTTCTGTTTTACGTTTGCTTGTAGTATTCTCAATGATTGTGAAAGATTTGCCAGGACTTATTAAAACTGCCTTAATAAATTCAGATCCAAAATCAATTCCCAATACTGCTCCACTAGTAATGATAGCTAGGAGACAAAGGAGTAAGTATTTTATCATTAATAAAATCAATAAATATTCTAGAATAATTTTACAATCTCTAATATACACGTGTATTCTGACACTCTATCTGTTAATTTACCTTGAGCCTTTTAATGATTAATATAATTATTTTATAGAATTGTGTTCAAAAATACTAAATGTCTATTTTTGTATCAAATAACCCATAATATATAATAAATATAGATAATATATTTTAATCCTCTTTATCCTAAATGATTAAATGGAATTATTATTTTTTCCATCCAGGATGGTTTTTAGCTAATTTTCTTGAAATCATTTCAGCTAACCAAATAATATTTCTGAATTCTTAATCTTTCAATTTTAAATATGCATAAAACACCTTTTAATTATATATTAAATTACTCCATATGATCCTTATCCATCAAAAGCTAAAACATATTGTCTGCATTCATCATCTTACATGATATCATCAAAGATTCTTTTTTAATATTAATAATACTTTGTTTAAAAATTAAACTCTTCTCTTTTTAAAGAATCAGGTGAATCCCTTAATATGTCTCTATAATTATCATAAACTTTAACTGGTTCTCTTAAATTATCTAAAGTCATGGCTTATAAATATAACTTTTCGCAATCAGCATATCAATTTCAATTTTTGGACATAACTATTTTCTTGTAGTAATAATCTTAGCAGCTGTATTTAGATCTATTTCCAATCGGATTATAAATCACTTGTATTGTTTTAAAATCTGCTTCAAATTTCAAATAATAATTCTTAAGAAGTTGGCATTAATAATTGTATAATACTCTTTTTGCAATACTTCAGATTCACAGAAAGAGTAAAAATCTTCTAACCAAATTTTCTATTAAGATGTTCTAATATATTCTGATTTCATTTCCCTAAACAAATTCTAGATATCATTCAATATCCAATTTTCATGTAAATTTTCTATGCATTCTTCTAAAAATTTCATAAAATACATTCCTATTTGTGTTTCAATTAAAACTTCTCCATATAAATAACTATAATCATCTCCCTCAAGCACCTTAATATTTTTTATTTCAGGAAACCAACCTAATGGATCCATATTGCTCAAAAGTATTTCAATATCAATTTATACTTCAATGTACTCAAATTCATCAGCTAATTTTTTCTATCTAAATATTGAAGTTGGTATCTAAGGATTGTCAGCTTATAAACAATTCTATTTTTCATATACTTGATAATCAGTTTCTTCTAAAAATAATTTTAATCCTGGGATTGAAGCACAATTTTTCATTATTAATACTTAGCTTCACTCAAAAAACTAGTCCTCTTATGGTAATTTTAGCATAGACATCATCGATACCAAAAACACAAAGATCCATAATGTAATTTATTTATTGTGGGGATAAATTAAATATAAAAATGATTATGGTTTTTCTTACTTTTCTAATTATATGCTTAAATATTTTGTAGTTTTTAATAAAGTATAATATTATTTATAATCTAAAGAAAGTCAAGGTAATTTTAATATTCAAATGATATTAAATATTATTATAATGATAATAATCTAAATAAGTACTTCTATTTCTAAAGATTTCCATAATAACCTTGAACTTTATAATACAAAAATTAAGAAATTTATTTATAATTAAAGTTTATTTTTTTATTCAATTATAAAATAAATATAAGATAATCTTTACAATCAATGATAAAAATGAAAATTTATGAGTAAAATTCAAATATTAACTATTAAGAAAGATGATTTTTCTAGTAGCACAAATTTCTTCAAATCTGTCTTTATCTTATAAATTTTAAGAATATTCGTTAAATTTTTAATATATCATCATATCAAATCAATTAAATTAGTAATAAAATAATTTTTAATTAAATAAAAATACTTTATATAAAAAAATAGTATATAGTCGTCATAGATATTGTAAATTAACATAAAGTTTTAAAAGATATTAAATATCTCATTAATATTCAACATGTTGTGTTTCAAAGTTATGAGAAACTTTTCTTTATGGTCTTCAGTTCCCCTTGGGTAATTAGACTCAATGTCTGGAGTAGTCGCCTAATATGAAGCTGATGACTTTCCCTAAAAAGTAAATTTAGGAGTTAATACTTACAGAGATAATAATGGAAACCCTGTTGTTCTAGAATCCGTCACAAAAGTATCATGTTTTTTAACAATTAGGCTCTATAAATGGTTAGAGAAAAAAAATTAGATAATGAATACCCACCTATCGAAGGACTTTAGTCATTCATTGAAGCAGCTATAAAAGTTGGATATGGTGAATCTTACTATGCGAAAAATAATAAAAACATAGCTGGTTGTTAAGTACTAAGTGGAACAGGGGCTGTTAGACTAGGGTTTGAATTTTTAAATAAGTTCGTTCCTTCTGGAACAAAAGTGTTTGTACCAAATCCTACTAAAAATATTCATCCCATCATAGCTAAAATGGCAGGATTATAATCTCAAGAGTATCGCTACTTTGATCCAATTACCAAACAAGTTGATTTCTCAGGGTTATCTGAAGATTTATATTCTGCTCCCAATGGATCTATAGTATTATTACATGCTTGTTCTCACAATCCAACTGGATGTGATCTTGAGTTATACTAATGGAAACAAATATTAGATTTAACTAAATAGAAACAAATTCTTCCATTTTTTGACATGACATACTAAGGTTTTACTAGTGGTGATCTCGAAAAAGATGCTTAAGCTATTAGATTATTTACAGAAGCAGGAGTTCCCATCATTTTAGGTTAATCCTTTGATAAAAATATGGGTTTATCAGGTTAAAGAACAGGATGTCTAAGTTTAGTTTGTTCTAATGAAAAAGAAAAGCTAATCGTTGTTTCTTAGCTGAACTTGATTGCTAGATCACTTTGGTCATGTCCACCCGTTCATGGAGCAAGAATTGTAGAAACAGTACTTAACAACCCAGAATTATTTAAATTGTGGCTATGTGAATTAAGGGTCATGGCATAAAGAATGAAAAAGATGAGAGTTAGCTTTACAAAAGCCTTAAAAGACATTGGTTCCCCTCATGATTGGTCTTACATCTCAAAATAATTTGGAATGTATTCATTAACAGTAATATATATTATTATTCCATTAGGGTATTGGACCCGCATAAATAAAGGAGCTGATTGAGAAATACCATATTTATTTATTAAATAATGGAGGTATATCTATTGCTGGATTGAATGAAAGTAATATCAAGTATGTGGCCTAGGCTTTCCATGAAGTGACAAAACATAATTTTATATGAATTTAATTATAATATAAATTTAATAATAAATTATATTATTGTATTTATTATTAAATTAAAATCAGAATTTACCCCAATTCTAAAATGGATCAAAATTAATATTTATGTTCATTTATTTCTCCTAATTTATATTATTAATTTATTCTTATTATTATTATTATTATTATTAATCAACTTATTATGGTTTTATGTTATTTATGACTGATGATTATTATATTGAAGGAGGTTATTCATCTAAAAGGTTTATATTATCAAATTCTTTATATTTATTTATATTAACCTTGGATTGTTGATCTTGATTTAGTTTAAATGGATTATCAAAGTTGATAAATGAATTATTTAATTAAACAGGATTGTTAAAGTCTTATATTGATTAATCCTTCTATTTTATATCATCTTAATTTAATAAATTTATGTTTGATTGAATATTAATTTATTTAGGTATAGATTATTCAAATGGAATGTTAAAATCAAAATTAAGAGATTATTATTGATAATTAATTTAAGGTATTCCAATTGACGATGGAGTGTAACTTTGATTATAAGTCGAAACTTATGATTAAACTTATCCAATCTAAATCGGATTAAGAGAAATATTTAATTGAGACATTTCATGTATTCCATTTTATGGTATGCCTGCTACAATAGGAGAAGAATTACTATTATATTATAAAGATAGAGGTTAAAGTTGATCTAAATTCAATTCACTACTTTTAAAATTATTTGATCTTTCTAATGAACTTTAATGTTAAAAAGATGGATTTGATTATTACTATTACTACTATTATTATTATTATTATTATTATTATTATTATTATTATTATTATTACTATTATTATTATTATTATTATTATTATTATTATTATTATTAT